CTGGTTTATAATATATTATGCATATAATATACAAGTAGGCACTTCCGAGATTATGTCGTCTTCTAAAAAATGTGTTCTCGCCTTATGCAGCTGTCAATTCGAAAAGGCGATTGTTGGCGTAGGTAATGCTAAAATCGTTGAATGGGACATTTTTTTTTTTCTCATTTATAATTCATATTCAAAGATTAGATTCTCAGGAAAAATATAGGTACTTAGTTCGTTCTTGATCTCACTACAAAGCGACTAAATCATTTTCAGGTAAGCTTGATTTATTGATTACGTCACAAAAAAATAACCTTCAAACGAAAAACTTATACTGGATCGACTTCAGTAAAAAAAAAAAAATTCTACAAAATTTGTCATCGTAACTATAAAAATATTTGTATACACATTTGTATAATAGTTCTAATTTAAAATAAAATAATTCATTCAATTAAATGTAAAATGCAAAATGCACAGTCCTGGCCATCACTAAATTAATGAATATTCGACCATAACAACAAACACTCGTTACTATTACCTGTGGCCCAATGTCGACAGTAAGGTAATATTATGATAGTAATGTTATAGTTAAGCAGTTGAAATACTAAAACTGTTGATTACAAAATCATGATATTTTCTTTACTCTATCGAGTTGTATGCCTAATGAAGTATTTATTATTGTAAAATATTACCAGCATGCGTGCACTGAACCGATAAAATACAAATGTAAATATATCGTAAACAAATAATATATTAACGTTTCTATAAATACACATCCGAAACATGTAGACAAGTCATAAGTAGGTACAGAACGCCCCTAAAGTCAAAATCGTACTTAAGTTTTAAGGTAGATATTTTCATCATTTAAAATATCACCACTTATATTCATTATTCCGCGTTGAGATCATCAATATTTTGGATTATTTTCAAACAAACACTTCCCAAGCATCTCATTTCAATGCACTGTGACTGTGTTATTCAAACATAGGGTAATAGGGTATAATTATTGGATTAGCTATTTTGTATTATTCATAAAAACACACGTGTTCTTTATCTCATCACCAAACACATCTTAACATACAATTTATAACACTAATGCTTTAAAATATTCATAAGCCATTAAGAATATAGAATTAAGATTACATAGTTAGTAATTTATTATTATTTTAAGTTTATGATTAATTATAATTTAATTTATCGAAACATAATAACATATTATGCACATAAGGTAGGCTTGTATGAAATCAAATGACATTCAATCTAATATTACATTATTTTTTTATTCTTATATTTTAATTAAACTATTTAATATTAGTAATCAAACTGTCAACATATATTCTCGAATTTCAATCGATCTATAACTAATTTTGCCGTACTTCCGTAGTTATTTAATAGTTTTAAAGTCTTAAAGAACTGTAGTATTAAAATATCTAAGTTTAAAAGAAACAATCCAAGTCTTCTATTTAACGATGATCGTACAACTCTAAATTACGGTTAGTAATAGATTATCACACTTTAACTAAATTAATTCTTAATATATTAAGACAATACTTAGTAATAAATGTTTTTAAACGATTCGCAAACAACAATGGCTCGAAATCGACACTTTATCTTGGTTAACTGTAGAGTGCATGCCAACATTTCAGATTAACTTTCTATTGAATGCGTCTTAGCTGTTTACAATAAATATTACTCTAACACTATTGCTCGTATAAGTAAAGTTAAATTAGCTCAGAGGTAATATACTGAACGTCGACCACAACCTAACTAAGATATCTCCGCGATCATTAAAGCAGCACATTAGGAATAGTAGTAACTGAGGATGTACATCTAAGTACATTGAATGATCCATACAAATATGTATACACAAAATAGTAATTTATAGACTATAGTAAAATAATCGCACACCCTTACGGTAAAACGACCTCATTAACTTTAAACACATGAGCATACGCGGATACCCATATTAGGTACGCAATATACTAATATCTACTATGTTCTAAACACATTTCATTAGTTGAACAAGCAGTGCGAATTATAATACCCCACGCCATCCATAAAATATTAGGTAGTACAATCTCTGCACATATACACATCATTTAATTTATAATAGCTCATCGAATCATAAATCTCCCAAATCAAACCAGTTTTTCATTTAATTTTCATCCATTAGAATAAATTACTACATTCATAATCACTTCTACCTACCAATTATCTGTTCTGTTTTCTTTTAATTTATATTTATTATTTTCTTCTACTACATAGTTATTAATATTTATTGGTTAAAATGTAATTCTTATCTTTATCTTTTAAGTCATTTTTATGAACTATGTTTTCGATGACATACCATTGAACCTTTTTATTTCAAAGTTTTATTCTAAATATCCAGACGAAATTCGCATGTGTTCGTAATATACTTTTAAATATTTTCGGCCAGGAAAGAATAAATGCGGCACACGTTATATTTCGATTCACCAGTTTTTTGATGAAATAAAATATTCCAAAAATGTATTGTCATAGATTTTTAACGAATACCCGATCACCCTAAATGTCATAGCATCGCCATAATCAATGTTTTGGGGGGCAGAAAAGGAAATATACGTATTTCAATGTACTTACTAGTGTTTTGAAGCATTTAAATTTTTTTTTTTCACGAACATAACTGGGTTATTTATCTAGTAATTTATAAAGATTTACTGAGTATAGAAAGAAATTTTATATATCAATATGGTTCATATTTAATCTATTTTCTATGTTGTGTGTCAAAACGTTATTAAGAAATAATATTCTTAGCATCACAAATTTCATAAATAAAAAAGTACTAGATCGAGTCTCGATTTAGACGCATCAACGTCTTTAAAAATAAATTATGTAACTAACATACTATTACGGTAAAAAAGGTGTTTCTACTATTTTAAAAAGGAAATTTGTACCACATCATTTGAACATATGTTCAATAAATATATTCGAATATTTAAAAATAAAAAAACAGAATTATAATAAATATATGATTAAAGGATACAATTTTGAGGATGTACATACTTGGTAAATCGTCTTTGAACACTGTATATCCAACTATACTTAAGAAAGTACACCTGGATCGTCACGCAAACGAACGGTTGCCGAAGTTCACACACACATTTTATGGTACCTATACGATATATACAAATTTACCCCTATCATGTTTTTACCCCATATGTTGCGTGACTTGTCAGCATTTCATTTCGTTTACTGGTAAATTAACTCAGCGATAGGCAAAAAAAATCTACGGTACAATATCCTGCAGAATGTTTAGTACAGATGTGCGCCCGGGCAAATGAATAAAATATTTTATAATAAAATACCAATAAACTGTAATCATTGTTCTGTATTATACTGTGTTACGACTTACGTGTATCACACATCATATATCCGCACAAAAATAATAAACACGTCACATGTCATATTTCGTTAAACTAATCGTGTACTATATGGAGAACATTTTTTTGAAGGGTAACATTTATTTTTAATACACCTAGCGTATTAAAATGTGTAGGTATGTATATTTACAGCTATTACGAATATATACATATATATCATTTTTCCCCATGTATGTATAAATAACTTAAATTCTACATAATACTATAAAACCAGATATTTTGAGAGGGTTACGTGCTACAAGTCACCCTGAACATGACCGTTCTGGCACTGAGTCAATTTATAGAGGCAATAAACTACATATTACATTTTTGAAAGTTATGACGAAACAATAGCTGGTAAAGATTTTATACGACAGCTATTTATGTAAATATAGGTACATGCTGTATGCTGCATTCGAGGTTGGTAGGTATATGTTAACGTACGAACCTGCAAAACTGAAATTTTAAAACGCTTTAAAATTCATGTAATTTAAAGTAAATTAATACTTCATGATATATTATTATACCACGAAAAAATATATTAATTTTTTAATTCTGTTTTCATTTTTAATTAAATTTTGTACTATTGTGATATTATGTATAGAGCCTTTTCATGGAGATCACTGGTAGACACTGAGTACATTGTTGGTGATGCCAAATATTTAAACGAAACTGATTGCAAATAAAATGCATACAATTTTCTTTAAAATTATTTTTATATTTAGATCGCAAAAAATTGTAAGTGCCTACCAATTTTTTTTTTTTTTTACAGTTAAAGATCAACAATTAGCGTAATAAAGTATTAAATAATAATAATAATAATTATTATTATTATAAAATAGCTACAAGTACCCAAATTGATTTTATACAACAAATTAAAAACTGGGTTATTACTATGACCCTATCAATTGCTGCTAACACAAAAAATTGCGGTACCTACTAGGTACCTACACAATTGGTTTTTAGTCTGATTAATTGTTTAATGTTGTATTCACAGAATTATTAAATAATCAGATAAATATAAGATACAAATTTTAGTTATTATTATTTTTTATAATTGTATAGTTGTATGTAGATTTTTGAAAATTAAATGAATTATGTGATATACAACTATACAAGTATCTGCAAGTACCTACCTATAATAAAAATGTTTAATTATTCCCACATTGCATGATTATTATTGGAATTGGCTATGTTATAACATTATGGAAAAATGAATTAATTAATATGATACTAGAATCAACAAAAATATGATCAGAACACCACGTCCGATGTGATCACATTAGATTTGACGGGATCCCCGTCCCACGTGGCATGTGCATTCGTAAAATAAATTATCGACGGTATCTTGTCAAAGTTTGAATTATTATTGCTGTTTTAGAATATAGACCAACATTGAAATAACCATCATAATATTATAACAGCGGCACGTCATTGACATAACCAGAAATGCCCTGTGAGGTACAACTGGTACAAGTGTACAACATCTGTGATGTAATCTCAAGGAGGTTGTCGATTTACCTCCATGTGTTTATTGATCACCGTTCGGATGGCGCTCCACGAATCTCGATCAGCTGAGCCGAATATGTTACAGGACGTCGACTGTCGAACAATCTTATCAGAACACCAACATTGAATGTCGACTCCTGATTCGTGACCAAAAATTCGAGAACTGTCGCGCAGAAGCATTGCAGAAACCTCATACTAAATTTTATTATTATTATCACGGTTAGGATATATATCTATAGCCGTGATTTTTATTTAATATACTTTTGTAGATGTGCACTGTGCACACGGATTAGGACAATTTTAGTTTTCGTTAACCGTTTTTTCATCAGTCAAACGCGCAACAGTAATAAAATAAATAATAATATAGATACTGATATTATCAACTCGTTCGCGTTATCACTGTCGTTTTTATTATTGTTTTTCACTACGCCGTCGTTTGCCGTTCACGGTCGGCGAGTTAACACTACGATAATACGCCACTACGATTTGCTTCACTTGCAGCTATGCTTATTCTTTACATTTTGTTTCAAAATCACTTGATTGCCAGACTGATCCTCCTTTCCCTACTGCTCATACTCGTGGTTTGCATCGACCTTTTCATAACCCACCAAAGTCAAAACTTGGTCAAGTCGTTCGAAGAGAAATTCAACATCAAGTTTTGAACGCCGCACCGCCATGGACTCGACAAAAACGACAACGACGTCTTCTTCCAAGGTACCACTTTATATTATATTGTACTTATGAAACGAAAGTATTGTGTCGTTATGGGAAGAGGCACAGTTGGATTTTTCGTTACCCCCACGTTATATTTCATAATATATTTTGCAGGACGACGCTAAAGCGTTGTTCCGCAAGGGAGTCGACTACGAACTGGAAGGTTTCCACTATGAGGCGATGCGTTGCTACAAACAAGCGCTAAAGTTAGACCCAGACGTCGAGAAAAAAATTGCAGATGAAGATTTTACTTCTCGCTCTTCTATGAACCCAACTGGTGAGCAAGTTAACTTAATTATTTATGTAATGAATTTGACTTATTTTCTTTTTGCAGATGATAATAATTTAAGCGACGAATGCGATGACGAATATGATAACAAAGAAGACCTCTTCTTGAGATTTCAGAGAATAATGGGCCCTCAAATATGCTTTCCAGAACAAACACAATTAGTATGGCAATGCACTATTCTTAAATGTCTTCTTGATGAGATATTTTATCATTATTTTATTTGTGTTCTAGAATACCCATTTTTCAGCTCTTCCCCCTGAGCTTGTTCTATACATATTTAGATGGGTCGTATCCTATGATCTCGATCTACGTATGTTAGAACAGTGTGCAGCTGTTTGTCGTGGTTGGTACTTGTGTGCCAGAGATCCTGAGTTGTGGCGTCGAGCATGTTCTAAGTAAGCTACCTTAATAAACATTAAACTTCTTTTTTAACTACTGAAACATAAATATTATACCTTTATGTGATGGTGTTACATTTGAATTTGTGAGCTTAAAGTCGCACACAATTAGTGAGTTTAGAATTGTATTTACTTCAAAAAACAAAACTAACTTATTTAATTTTATTTGAAATTGTGCAAACATAATATCTTTATAAATTCTAAAATTGTTATGATTTAATTTAATTACTTTTATTAGTTTAAATAGATACAATTTTAGTTTTATTTGTAAATATTAAGTAGAGCTTACTTTCTATGTTTATCTCCATAAAATTTATTTTTATTTTTTATAAAATTAAATGAAATAAAAAAAAATTACAATTATAATTTTAACTATAAATATCCATGAAATGCATTTGCTTTTAGAATTGAGTATAAGTATATCTGTTATTTAGATTTTGGCCTTCAAATGTCAATGACTTAGTCCCATATAACGGAAGTTGGAGACAAATGTTCATAGAACGACCCAATGTACTGACAATTGGTTGTTACATTTGTAAAATATCTTATGTGCGAAGAGGTGAAGAATCATTCAGAGATAACACTAATGGACCTTCTTTTAATGTTGTTTATTACAGATACTTAAGGTGATAATGTTTTAAAGATTCTTTATTTACCTAAAATTAAATACCACATGAAAATATTTAAAATATTAAAATTGTCAATTGATACATTTCTTTTAAATATTTAACAACTAACCATAGGATTCAAAATTTTTAGTAATACTATTTTATGTTTGTTTTTATTTCATTAAAATAATTATTATAATTTAATAATATGATATTTCAAAACTTGATTTTTCCCAATTTATCAAATTTTGTTATACTTTTTAATTTATTATAAGTATGACAATTAATAAGACTAATAATTTCAAGTTAATTATTTTTTTAAATGTTAGTTTGATTTTATAAAAAAAAAATACAGAGATGAAGCAATAAATTAATAGTGATTTACATTCACCCAACATTTGAATTTATTTAATACTTATAATATTATTTTTATTTATACTTTTTATTTTATTATTATTATTTATTTATTTATTTATTTTTTTTTTTTTTTTGTTAAAATATCACAAAACAAATCAACAAAGCTTTTTCACATTATTCAACAAAAATGTATGATATTTTGATTTTATATTTGGCATTAGATTTTTTTCTGATGGTCGTGTCTTAATGGTACTATCTTACAATCCTCCATCTAAAATAGTACGAAAATTACAGACAAGAGAAAAAGCACCTTTCAATGTGTGCCCTGGACATTATAGATTGTCTGGTAAACAATTATTATTGACTCTCGACAGTGAAGATAAGGAACGCGATCGAGAACTCAACAGAAAACTTGGTTGGGAGGACAATACCCAAAGAAAGACTACTTACAACATGGTATGATACTACTCTTTTGAAACATAAAATTCTCATTTTACTTCTGATATTATTTATTATTATTATTTTTTTTTCAATTTAGGTTTTAGAAATTTCAAAATACAAATCCAAACATAACTGGAAATTGCAATGTACAGAATATGAAATAGTTTATCAAAGTAGAGTTAATAGAGTAATGGTTACCAAGTATGATTTATCTAATAATCGTTTTCCACCATTTATATTTTCACGCGTGAAATGCTACTCTAATGAATCTGAACGTGTGTTATAAAAAAGTGTGTTACTTATTAAAGTAAAATGTAAAGTATAATAAAATTAGCTCGACAAAATATTTGAAACAGTTTAAAAGATTTTTGTTTATTATTGTTGAATATATTATGTGTTATTATTTATTATTTAAATTTAAATTCTGTACTGATCATTGGCCTGTGATTTCTCTAAATGCTTTTATTATATTATATTGAATTTTACTTATTACTACACTAAACTATATGTAATTAATTATTTATTTTATGATATTTAAGTACTTAACATGAATTTATTAATTTGTTATTATAGTATTCCAGACCTAAATACATCATCCAATACATGTAATTATTTTTTTCTTATTGAAATTAATTCATTTTTTATTTTTACCATGTTCAATGTGCGTTCAAACTTAGTCATATAAATAAAAAGTTTTTAATAAACTTTTAATTAAAAGCTTTGTGTATTAATTATTTAACAAAAAATTTCAAGGAAGATATAAATTGTATTATGCGTTATAATAAATTGTACAAAATAATATTAAATGTGTTTTTTTTTTTTTAATGTTAAATTATTACATAGCTAAAATTATATAGGTGATTTTTTTTTTTTTTTTATCCAATTATGTTTCATTTTCAATAGAATCTTAATGTAATATAGAATAATTGTATGAAGTATTAGAATAATTAATAACCCTTATTATCTTTTATTGTTAAGATATATTAATATTATATCAATCTCAATGTATTATTAATGTGCTACTATTATACCTAAGACGTGTGTGTTAAGTTTATTCTCTTTTGGTTATATATTTACTGTGTAATAAATTTATTAACATATTGTTTTACTAAGTGTGCCTATAAGAAACAGAATATAATCTTAATTATCAATATATTAATTCTATTGTTATCTATATACATCTTTGACTGGAGTAATAAAAAAAAAATCAAGTTTTGAACTTATTTTCAATATTTGGTTTACTATTTAGTCACACATATCAAATTGTATGAATGTGGAAATATTTACTTCCCAAGAAAAGAAAATAAAGATTAAATAACTTTTTAGACAAGGAATAATTTTTTTCTTTTCATTTAGACTTGAGAGAATTAAATATAAAATGGAGTAAATTCACCACTGTACTTTACAGTATGTATCGAGTAAACCTCATCATTAAAAATTTTATCACTTTAATATATGTGTAAACTTAATTCAACAATAAATCATTGCATATGAATAACAATTCTGAGTGAAGATAATCTGTCATTCTATATCAGAGTATATTTTATAATATATTTATATTGCTATTAAAGGAATTTATTTATTAAAAGTTATAACATTGGTTTATTTAACTTTTATCAAAAAATATTTCATTGGAATATTTCATTAACTATTATGTACCTATAGAATACAATACTATGCGTTAAAAGTCACAAGTACTCGTGAATAATATTTTTAAATAAAAAACAAAAATTTTATTTGTTTTTTTTTTCAATTACATAACAATCTAATTTTGTTCAAATCTTAACTTAAAATATCTTAAAATAAATGGTATATTTTTAAATGTTTTGGTTACAGCATAAAATATTTATGAGAACTCTTGTATTATATTTTCAATCCATAGCTATACAAATTGAACATTAACAAGTTATTTGCATATTTTATTAATGATTTCAACGAATTTTGTAAAAATTTAAATTACAAATAATAATAAACCTACTTTATAAGTAAAAATCATATCTATTTGGCTATGTATCTTGAATATTTTTAGTGCAAACTATAGTATAATAACAACTTATAAGATACTTTATATTAAATTATCACGCTTTTGATTACCTAGGTAGAAATTTCTTATCAATATTTAAATACCTATAAGAAAAATACTAAGAAGAACTAAAATTTTGGCAAGCATGTATGATGTAATTGAGCATTTCGACATACATAGGTACATTACACATTTTGATGTATAGGGATAGATATTAATCTAGAATAATAATAGTACTATAAATGTAGGTACCTATTATAAGAATTATTAAGCGATATTGAAGGGAGCTGTTCAATAAACAACTAAGGACTGTCCGTCAGAATCAAAAATCGTTTTTTTAACGGTCGAGTCTTAAGTGAGTGTTTAATTTTCTATATATTTATACAAATATTAAATAAATTATATTTATTCTGAAAAATTTCATTTATATTTTAAAATTAAATTAACAAAGAAACGATAAATAATAATATTTAAGTGTACCTACCTAATTGTAAATGTATTAATCTTTAAGGTTGTTTAATTATTTGATAATTACTTTGAGCGCATTTTTCTTAAATATAATTGAAGTATTCAACAAAAAACCAACATATTTTGAACACGGTGTAGATAACAAGGGAAATGCACAAATTATGTAATAAAAATAATCTGAAAACAATAAATAACATTATAAGACGCATGTCAAATCGAACAATTTAAAATATCATTTACTTTCGATATTTTGATAATGCGCTTGTCAAATTACTTAAATCTTCGTGTAAAATGTGTTTCCTAATCCCGTAAACAGTACGCGGTATATAGGATTTCCAATCGAATTTTTCGAAACTGAACCAAAATGTCTCACGATCCTCTTGACTTAGTAACGACCATAACTCTCGAGTATTACTGTTGTCGAATTTCCATTCACTCGTAGTAAACACTCTGAGCAAATCATTCGTGTTTTCTATTTTTTTATACATTTTCAGCATCCTGAATCAATACATAAATTCATGATTAATATTTTCGATAATCTGACATAGTTACGATATTGTAAAATACAGATGATGTAAACAATTTAAATAATTTAACATGTAGGTAATAAAATTTACCTGAATGTAATCGTTAGAAATCTTTATTTAAAATAAGTGACCATTTAAAAATCACAACAGTATTAGAAATGGAAATGAAAATCTTTAACCAATTTTATTTTATGTTTATTTAATAAAAACCCTAATACTATAAAATGTACCTTATGGTTTATATTATTAGATATACTACTTACTTTAAATTTTTTCCACGAACAATGAATGAAATAAGATCTATGATTGCACCAGGTATCCAGTGTAAAAAAAATCTCAAAATATTAATGAGCCATCGATTGGTAGAAAATATACAAAATATGTACCACATTGATTCCAGCGGAGGCGCCTGGTGGTATGTTTCAAACGTATACTGTATGACCTCATCCCAATGGATTGGGCTTTCAATACTAGATACGTAATTATATATTTTTGGTTCCTTGTTTTTTTCGAAATTATATTGATGTCTATCAAAATAATTAACAAAATACAAATGGTTACATCATAAATATGTAATAAATTATAGGTACCTGTTTGCTGTACTCCACATTACACTAATAAGTGCATTTACGGTGTAATCGACTGGAACAATATCAGTTATTTTATCCCTGGATAATTGAATTGTTCTTAAAACGCCAACAATCAGGGGAGTAACTATTCCAGATAGTCCATTAATATTATCTAACCATCCTGGTTCTGGTTCAGATTGTGTGCACCCTACTACAATATTGTTATCGTTTAATATTTTCGATTAGATATTTCGAATTGGTTTCGATAGTATATGTATGTTACGGGTAAAATAAAGTGCTGGAAAAATTACACGACATTATGCGCAGTGCCCATCGATATCAGGTAAAGTAAGTATTAAAAGGTTACCACTACCGTCTATTTTATAAACAAGTCCGGACAACAATTCAAATCGATCAACATACTATTGGTCAATGTAAAAAATGTATTTCATTATATATATATATACATATAAATACTCAATGACGAGGTTAACTGGACAATATACAACCGAGTAAGTCCCCAGTTGTTATATAATAGTTTAGAGTAAAATATTTAAATATATACTATATAACTTAATAGGTATAAAAGTAAACAGTGTAACTTAATCAAGTGCTATATTAGCAATCCGTGCTCAAATAAATAAAAATAGCTAATTTTAATGTTGAAATATAAAAAAAAACTTGAACTATAATTATTATATAGATACCTAGACAAATATGTATCTAACAATAATAACAAATTAATTAATATAATATTTATTCTACAAGAGGTAAAGTTCTTTATTTGGTATTTTACATTACCTTTTATTCAATCACTGCATCTTAGCAATATAAAAACAATGATAGCTAGCAAGCTTTATTTTCACTTTAACCGTTAAATTTGGGCACTGTACACAACACATTAATGTCCCGCTACCCCACTTTATCATTACCATGTAACTAAAAATAATTATTTTTAATCTATTTTCCATATATATTTATATTTTAAATCCTTACTAATTGATGGACGAAATATTGAAATCGGTAATTGATTTTTATTTTTTAAAATTACATTTTCTGTAAGTGCTTTCGTGAAAGTGTACGTGTTAGGCCAATCAACTGAAAAGCTATTTTTTCACAATATATGATAACTAAAAATTAGAAAAAATGTTGATAGAAAAAAAACTAAAAAAATATATATACTTACAGCTGTGTGTTTTCATCTTTTTTAATTAAATCTTTTAATTCTTCAGTCGATGTTGAAACGGGATAGAATTTTTCTTCAATTTCACTTCTCGGACAGTGTGAATAAGCGGTTGATACATGCACAAAACCCTGAGATTATAATAAATTATCAATCATCTGATTGAAAAACTGTCACAAATAATTATGTTATTTTGTGATTATTCTTATTATACCGCAGTAAAAACAAAATTCCATACATTTTTTATGGAACTTGTTTTTTTTTTTTTTTACATTTTCTAATACAACTTTTATAATTTTAATATTTTATATAGTTTCCCTAATTTTTATCTTAATTTTAAATAGATCGAATTTATTGTTTCTCAAATTTCTCCAAAAGAAAATATTATAAAATGAATTTCAAATATTAAATAATTACTCTGAATACTTGTATAATATTAAAACACATACTTTATTTATTTATTATTTAAATTTAAAAAACAAAACAAAATCTTAATCGTATATCTAAAAGTAATTAATTAATTATATATTTCTATTACCTTAAGATTAATCATTTTTGTTGCTAGTTCTAATAGATTTTCTGTTCCTTGAATGTTTATTTTCGTTGCCATCTGAATAGTTTCATTGAACCTGACTGTAGCAGCACAATGAAAAACAAAATTCACATTTTTTATCATCCAATCACGATCGTCTGTTGAAAACCCTAACGAGGGTTCTCCCAAATTTCCATCAATTATTTTTATCTTAGTCACGAAGTCGGGCTTTTCTTTTCGAAGACGGTCAAATATCTTAAAACGCACAATATTAATTATTAAATATAACATAATAAAAATACAATTATTGTATTTAATCCTACTAGATTAAAGTGTAAAACCTAACATATAATAAAATAAGTATCGTGATAATTAAAAGCGAATATACATATAATAATGTAAATTTCTAAAATGTATGTGTTTCCTTTTTGACCAAATTTCTCCCTTCTATTAATATATAACATATATTATCTCATTTAAAGCCCAATACTCGAGTAATGCAGTAAACAAATATTGTATTTGAAACAGTTTAATTAAATGTGGCCCAATTGTTGACTATTCTGTAAAACTGTTCCTTAATTCTCCTGACAAATGGTTTATGTTGAAGAAATTTTTAGCAACTTTTTTAAATTCTTAAAATAATAATGATAAATAAAAATTGCCGACATACTAATAATTAATAAGTAATGTTTATTTAATTAATTTATCGAAACAGTGTATTTATATATATATATATATATACATTCAATTTTTAAGTATAAAAATAGACTTACAGTTTGTTTATAGATATCCGCAGCTCTTGAACTGGCAGTTATTCCTTTCTTCTCTCTAATAAGAACCGCAATAGTTTTCACATCACAAGACCTTAACAATTTTTCTGTGAGTATTTTTCCTAGAAACCCTGTACCACCAGTGATGAAAACCACACCATCCTTATACGCGTCGGCTATATTCATTTCTTTAGTTGTTTTTAGTCAGATATCACACAAACTTTTTCACTGCAAATAGCAAATAGCGTATGCGTAAATCAGTTATATACTAATAACTGAAACGAGTTTTTTTATCTGACTAGTCATTGATAACCTTCCATTAGATTAGTATATTTAGAGCGGGGCGATGAATACATTGTTATTACAACGATGGGTGTATTTTATTTATGTTCGCCATCACCTTTTGGAGTAGAAAAATTCTTTAGTTTTCAACCTTTAGGGTGATTTCTTGTAGCAAATAGAAACTAGTGGGTAGGTACTTAAAGAGAGTCAAAGTAAAATATTCTTCGTAACTTTTTTAATATTAAAAAAAATTGAAAATGTCATGCCAAATCAACTTTTGGTACTCGTAATAATGATTTCTTCATTTTTTTATTATTCAAAAAAAGAATAACCTTAGAAACTTTAAATATTCTCCAAGCGCTTATATTATTATTTTCTATACAATATGGTATAATTTTCAAAATATTTTGACTCCATTGAGGTATTTATTTTTTATACGAACCACCCGAGACTTTTCTGTTATAATGATAAGTGATCTTTAACAATACATTTCAATGATGTACATTAATAAAAAATATTAATGAAAAATATTTGTTTAATATATACAAAAACGTCAAAAACATGTTGGGTTATCACTTCCAGCGGAGAGCCCTGGTCTTAGTCAAATATTTTATACCTACTAAGCCTTAATATAGTCTTTAGCGTTTGAGATGCCTTATTTCTTGATAATTATCAATAAGATGAATTGCTGTGTTTATCTAGCATTATCTCGTGTTTTTTGGGCAAATTTAGTAATCTCGTCCTGGACAGAGGTTGTCATCAAATTTCGGTGGATAATGTCGTTTCTATCGTATCGGTATGCAGCGACAATAGTACGGAGAGCAATGGTTTGTAATCTCAATATTGGTTTCAGTGGCACAATCCTACAGTTGTATTCTATGTTTTATAAGTTCATATTAGTTTAATTATCGCTGCGTATAAAAAAAAACGTTTGCTAGTAAGATCTAGTTCGGAGTGTCTTCCGATCAACCAATAAAGTTTCCTCAATTTCTCTTAATTTGTAATTTTTTCTAGCGAACGTGATTTTTTCAGTTTAACCGTCAGTCAAGGTGCATTCCTAGGTATTTTACAGAATCGTTTAGTGGAATGATCTGTTTATCTAACAATACTAAGTTGAAAATTCTTTTTCGCAAAGTTTCATTTACGTAGTTATAGACAATAAACGTTTCTGATTTCTTTTCAGTTTTTTTTTCCATAAATGACGATAGAAAATTTATAAATGGAAAAAAATATTTAAAGATGTGATGTATTATAAAATTCTTAATAAGCAGTTCAATTCCCGATTAAAAAGAATTAAAAATTTATTGTTGCAATATATTTTTATAAGAATTTTATTTTGAGTTTTGATAAAATCATCTTGAAAAAATACAAATTATTTCATTAGAAATCCATAAAAATTTATTTGTTTATACCTAAGATTTGAAAATATAATATTTAGTGTTCTATAAGTTTTTAAACCTTCATAAATACAAACAGTGTATCAAAAAGTCAAGTTAATTTTTTATAAACGTGTTTTAAGTTCAAATTTTAACGATATTATATATTTACTCATGTAATAACTATTTCTCTTCTAACTTTTTTGTAGTAATTCCTTAAACAGTAGTTACAGAATACTTAAAATTGTCACCGAATATATATTTTATCATTTCCTGTACGTCGTGATAATTTTCACAATGTTATTAATTTTTAAGTCAATTTAAAATTTAATACAAGATCCTCATAAGTTATTTTTATGTCTACATAAAATTATATTTTATAGTAAAAAGTTATGAAATCTTCAATTTTTATAGATGAGATTTGAAAATATAATATAATATTCCTTATAAATATTTTATACAAGAACTAAAAAATATAAAAATTATTCAAACACAATTCATTTTATTTGATATTTGAACAAGTTAAAATTTGAATATGATATCATATATCAACAATAAATAACGATGTTAATTGTTTTTCTATAAATCAATAAATATTATTCGTTTAAACATAATACTTTTACAAATATTATTATGAATTTTAAAATATGCAATGATATTTTTGGTATATTTTACCTGTATTTACTGTTTAATGGTGTTTATATAAAGATCTTATTTCATTTTAAGTTATATTTATTTAATATAATATGATATAAATACATATTACTATAATCATTATTGAATTTTATTGTTAATGTTTCATAAAATTTGTAAATTAATCTGTAGTGTCTTTTTAACCATTTTGTTTGATATACCTACAGGCTACAACTAATACACTATCGAATCTGTTAATTTTATATCTTCTAGAAAATTTATTAAATGTTGATAAAGCGCGAGGTCGCTTTGAGTAAACTTTTATGTACTCTTCGGTGGTATATCAAATTATATATTATAAAATATTTTGTTAAAATATAAAATGATTAAAATGTATTAAAATATAATAGCCCAATTTCTGAATTTAATAATAAAAATCATTTAAAATAGTGACTGATTCAAATCAAAAAAAATGTAAAGTTAATTAATGAACTACTTAAGGAACAATTAAAATAAAATCATATATTTATACTTCTTATAAAGCATTAAGTGAATATTTTAAACATCTGAAGCTATTAATTTTTGCATTATATCCAATAACAAAGTCAATTTTGTCCAAAATTAAAATATATATATATATATATATATAAACTTTGAAATTATTACTTAAGTTTATACGTAAAGATTGTATTTCCATGTACAGTAGACGCCGCTTATAAGACTCACTTTGGGACCAGCACAAAGTGAGTCTTATAACCGATTGAGTCTTATAGGCGAAGTGGAAAAAAAAAATAATTACGTATTTATAAATTTTATTTTACTACATATTTTGCTTTGATTTTAATACATTAACACATATTACATATTACATACTTTATTATTGAATAAATTTAATAATCCCGATAAAAAAAATAAAATTATAATAGATAAATATTACATATTACGATAACTGTGCAGCCGCCAGATAATCAGTACACTATAATAACAATTATCGTTGCGATAAATGTGAACTTTTATCTGCGATAAAAATTATTATACGTTATAAGATACCAACAGAAACTAGAAATAATCAACACGAATATTATTTAATTTTTTAATACTAATTTATTTCTAAATTATAACCAAAAAAGTTTATTTTCTATTATTTATTTTACGAAATTTGAGTCTTATAACCGAAGTGTTGAGTCTTATAACCGATTTTTTTTAATGTATTTGGATACGTCCGGACCGTTCCAGATGAATTTGAGTCTAATAAGCGACTGAACCTTATATCCGTGAGTCTTATAAGCGGCGTCTACTGTACTAATAATTATTAACATTTTCTCGTAACATTTTGTTATTTTCTCGATCAAGTAATGCTTTATGAAAATTAATTTACAGCGAGTATATTGTGGTATAGAAAGTAGTAAAATGCATATGTTATGAAAAATCCGACGTTTATTCATAAAAACATTGTTTTCAACACTACGCAGTTAAGTGACGTCAAACGATGTTAAAATGAAAAATATCCAACAGTTGACTGTACAAAAAAAATCTTTCTGCTTGTCAATGATTTATTCATTTTGTTTGAGTTTAACGTTTAATAAATACACAGAATACCTGTGCGCTCTACGGTTTATCTTTATCTGCATTGACTTTAATTATGTTGTAGTTATGTAATCAATTTTTATTCCACCATAAAAAAAAATCTATCTAGTTATTTATTAAGTCTTCATAAGCAATCATTTTGTCTGAGTATCAACTATAATTTATCCTATACCGACATCATTAACAATAAATTATCCTAACTGTTTCCTTATACAAGTATACAGTTGGTTATTTTATTATATAGGATATAAAAGATATTAAAATGTTGTCAGGTACTTATGACGTATTTAAATGAAGATTATAACATTTTTTTATTTTGCTGATCATTTTCGTAGGCTAAATTAGAAAATACACTTTTTATACATATACTATAAAAAAAAAATGTACCAATAGCATTTTTATTATTTTAAAATTATAAATGTTGTGAAAGTATAATAAATTATAAGCCCTTCTTAATGGGTCACTGTACTCAATACAATATAATATGACGTAGGTAGTCTGGCGTGGAACGGTGGTCAGCCTCCGTCACTAACGCGTTCTGAGGTCAAGCATAAGCTGGTATCGCTAGCTCCCGGTTGTGCAACTATCCGGGTTTTTAGTGAAAAATCCTCGCCACATATACACGTACTCCAAAACATTACTTTCCCTACAGTAAAAACCTACTACAATCTAATAATAACCACTGTTGAAGCCATCAATCTATATAAACATCGTAAACAAAATCATACTGAAAAAAACATACTCTACATGAAGGACCTACGGTGCAAGATATTTTAATGAAATAACTATATTATGCTGATCTGTTTAATTGTGAGTAAAATAAAAACTGTTGAAAAAAAGACATTCATCAACAACCAAAAAATATTGAAATATTAAATTGGTGAAGTTAATAAATTAACATATATACAGTCTGGTTTAAAAAATAGAAAATGTTATATATTGGTATTGGTTTTTATTTTTGGTCATAGTATTTTATACTTCAGTGAATTGACAACTTTTTATTAAAATAATTTTAAAGTTTAAATTTGGATAAAGCTAGATATTTAAATGAAGAATAATGATTTTAGATAATTTATTGTTATTTTATTTAAAAATAGTATTTGTATAAAGCTTTTATAGACCCAATTTTCAAATACAATGTTTTCACAAAAATCAATTAAATACATAACAAAATACTAAAAACAAAGTTTAAAAAATTATTATTTTGTAACAATTATTATTCTTATCGATTTTTGATCTTATAAAAATTTGTTTAGGTATTTAATTTAGAACTATTACGGTAAATAAAATACGGTACATCTGAATTGCATTCAAAAAAAAAAAAAATAATAATAATAATAAACATAAATTGGAATGTCCAAATTGTATGTCGTGTACCCGCAAGTTTATCTTTATTTATTATGCATATATGTGCACGACTTAAACTTTATTTTTGATCATTTTATTTTTTTTTAAATCGCTTGAATAAAAACTGATTAGTTTCAATTAAAGAAGATGACACTGTGAATATTAAATAAAACAATTGTAGTTTAAGGTAATCAAGTAAATGTATTTTAGATTTTAACGTGGCGTTTCAAATAAATAAT